TGGTGTCGAAAGTGGTATCAAGAGCCGACCGTTGAGTAAGCAATGGCAAACTACTGAACACAAATTGCCAAGAAAAACAGCAACAGCAACCTAAGAAATGCGGGGTTTGGGTCTTATGACTTATCCTAATTCATTTTCCACCTCATTCTTAACGATGTTTAAAACTGAAAAAAAGAAAAACACCTTTGACTCTTTTGAACGATTTCAATATAATCGCTGTTAGTCAAGGGATTGACAATATTCGTTTAAAAAACCACTTCTTCACTGCCTAACACTTCTTTCTGATTTGTTGGAACACACTCCATCATTCTCGGCTACAGAACAAAACAGATTTGACATTCTACGCCACAGAGCTGAATAGATTCAACATTCTACGCCACAGAGCTGAATAGATTCAACATTCTATGACAACGAGCAGAACAGGTTCCATATGTCAGTTACAAAATTGTCAGCTGAGAATGTCCAATATTTTATAAGAATAATTTGTGAGAATGGACATCCAGGAAGGAAGCTGTACACCCCACCACGTCATACCTTCACATGGACCAAAACTAAGTAAAAGTCTAACACGCGATACTGTCACGACAGTATTTTCTGTGGAACTGTTTTTGAAAGCACAAGAACTAGCATGATAGCTCACTCCACAAGATATTAGCTGTGACTGCCATTGAGACACGCTCCACACTGGTCTGGCTGGAGCACCATGTCTGGACGACGTTTTCTAGCCTTGTATCAAAGAGGTAAGCAACAGATAATTAGTCTGACCCCGTGACCCGGACGTGTACATACAAGCAGACGACTGTTGATTTGTAGCCCAGAAAATATTCATGCGATTATCAGTTGATGGTGTTTATATAAACTGTACCTCGTTAGTTCCACAGTTTATTTGACTACACAACACAAAATGACCACTATGGCTCAGTGACTAGACAGCTGGCTTGCCGGCGCGATGTTATGCGGGTTCGATTTAGTGTCAGTGCGGAAATTGTTCAATCGACCAGAGCTTTAAGATCTACCAAGCATCAAACTGGTAACCAGAAACAACATGGGAAGTAAAGGCGGTCAGTTGAATATTGTCCACGCTATGTATTTACTGTTCCTGGTCTACGCAAACATACATACAGCACCATATTGTGAAATCTCAGATTGTCACAGACTGCTTCAATCCATCTTCTTCTTGGGCTCCATTTGCCTCTTGGAGTTTCAATTTTCAAATTCTACGTTCTCACTGCCGGCATCGTTATTATCGTTCTCATTCTCACAATATCATCAAAGCACACCAAGCCACCGAGCGTGTCCTGGCTCGGCTACCGCTATATGTTAAATATCAATACCTAGAGCCACAAAACAGCTTTTGGCAAAAGAAGAAAACATGCCCTGATAATTCTAGTGCCCCCCCCCCCCCCATTTCATTTCTAAATTAGTGTGAGAAATCGTCTGTTCGTTGTTTCTATTTAAAAAAAACGGGTGTTTTTTGGCGAGTGTAACCAACACACATGTAACCAACACACATGTAACCAACACTCATGTAACCAAGACACATGTAACCAACACACATGTAACCAACACACGTGTAACCAAGACACATGTAACCAACACACATGTAACCAACACACATGTAACCAACACACATGTAACCAAGACACATGTAACCACACATGTAACCAACACACATGTAACCAACACACATGTAACCAACACACATGTAACCACACATGTAACCAACACACATGTAACCAACACACATGTAACCAACACACAGGTAACTACACATGTAACCAACACACATGTAACCAACACACATGTAACCACACATGTAACCAACACACATGTAACCAACACACATGTAACCAACACACAGGTAACCACACATGTAACCAACACACATGTAACCAACACACATGTAACCAACACACAGGTAACCACACATGTAACCAACACACATGTAACCAAAACACATGTAACCAACACACATGTAACCAACACACATGTAATCAACACACATGTAACCAACACACATGTAACCAACACACAGGTAACCACACATGTAACCAACACACATGTAACCAAAACACATGTAACCAACACACATGTAACCAACACACATGTAACCAACACACATGTAATCAACACACATGTAACCACACATGTAACCATACATGTAACCAACACACATGTGATCTTATTTGATCCGAAAAGACTTGATCCACAATACTAGCTACTAGAGAATAAGGCCTTATGTTGCATTTTTGGACTAACCACCCCTCACCTTTTATCAGTTCTCTTATTTTGTAAAAATCCAGACAACGCTATGTGACCCCCAAATGTCCGAGTAGTGGTCTCTGCTCCACTCTACAATTGCTGCTGCTGGCTCTGCTGTTACTGCTATTGCTGCTGCTACTACTACTGCTGCTTTTACTACTGCTGTTGCTGTTTCGGCTGCTGCTGCTGTTACTTCTGATACCACTAACAAAACTACTGTCATCATTACTCCCCTTTGGAGAAAGTTCCCACAAATCATCAAATGGGTTCAAATCCTGACCTCCACTATCAGTCTACTGATTCATGACATTCAGTTGTTCATTACCACTTGAAACTACCGACCTCCACGAGCAGACATAGACTTGACATTACATACGACCACGAGCAGACATACACATGACATTACATACGACCACAAGCAGACATAGACTTGACATTTCACACGACCACGAGCAGACATAGACTTGACATTACACACGACCACGAGCAGACATAGACTTGACATTACATACGACCACGAGCAGACATACACATGACATTACATACGACCTCGAGCAGACCTACACTAGACATTACACACGACCACAAGCAGACATACACTTGACATTACACACGACCACAAGCAGACATACACTTGACATTACACACGACCACGAGCAGATATACACTAGACATTACACACGACCACAAGCAGACATACACTTGACATTACACACGACCACGAGCAGACATACACTAGACATTACATACGACCACGAGAAGACATACACTTGACATTACATACGACCACGAGCAGACATAGACTTGACATTACACACGACCACGAGCAGACATACACTTGACATTACATACGACCACGAGCAGACATACACTTGACATTACACACGACCACAAGCAGACATACACTTGACATTACACACGACCACGAGCAGACATACACTTGACATTACATACGACCACGAGCAGACATACACTTGACATTACACACGACCACGAGCAGACATACACTTGACATTACACACGACCACAAGCAGACATACACTTGACATTACACACGACCACGAGCAGACATACACTAGACATTACACACGACCACGAGCAGACATACACTTGACATTACATACGACCACGAGCAGACACACACTAGACATTACACACGACCACGAGAAGACATACACTAGACATTACACACAACCACGAGCAGACATACACTTGACATTACACATGACCACGAGCAGACATACACTTGACATTACACATGACCACGAGCAGACATACACTAGACATTCCACACGACCACGAGTAGACATACACTTGACATTACACACGACCACGAGCAGACATACACTTGACATTACACATGACCACGAGCAGACATACACTAGACATTACACATGACCACGAGCAGACATACACTAGACATTACACACGACCACGAGCAGACATACACTTGACATTACATACGACCACGAGCAGACATACACTAGACATTACACACGACCACGAGCAGACATACACTTGACATTACATACGACCACGAGCAGACATACACTAGACATTACATACGACCACGAGAAGACATACACTAGACATTACATACGACCACGAGCAGACATAGACTTGACATTACACATGACCACGAGCAGACATACACTAGACATTACACATGACCACGAGCAGACATACACTAGACATTACACACGACCAGGGGCAGACATACACTAGACATTACACACGACCACGAGCAGACATACACTAGACATTACACACGACCAGGAGCAGACATACACTTGACATTACACACGACCACGAGCAGACATACACTAGACATTACACATGACCACGAGCAGACATACACTAGACATTACACACGACCAGGAGCAGACATACACTTGACATTACATACGACAACGAGCAGACATAGACTTGACATTACATACGACAACGAGCAGACATAGACTTGACATTACATACGACCATGAGCAGACATACACCCGACATTACACACGACCACGAGCAGACATACACTAGACATTACATACGACAACGAGCAGACATAGACTTGACATTACACACGACCAGGAGCAGACATACACTTGACATTACATACGACAACGAGCACACATACACCCGACATTACATACGACATTAGGTTGACGACGTATAACATCCGCTAAGGTCGACAGAAGCCCCCCCCTCCCACCCCTTCCCCCTGCCCCTGTCGTGTGTTGGTCACGGTTTCACCATCAGGTGTAAGACTGACTGACAATCAAACAACAATGTTTATGTTCCGCTGCCTGGTCTCTGGAAATGTAACGTGAACCGGTGTTTCATTCATGGTGTCGCATTATGACCTCGCTTTTGTGTGACATAGCACAAACTATTAGTACTTATCGGTTAACTCTTAACATTCGACAGTTTTAAAATCAAAGATGTTCGATTGATGTAGGAGTTAAAGTGGTACCTATCTGAATCAGGAGCCCATAAATAACGTTAACTGATATAAAGGACCGAGTAATCGATGTCTTGATGCATAAAAGTTTAAGTTGTAGCTTAGGTAATACAGTCAGAGAATGGAGCGGTGTGAGTTAACTTCAGGAAAAATAATGGGTTAAGTTATCAATTCAGGCAGGTAAGCATTAACCTGTAACAAACTGTGTGACAGTATAAAATGTCACAAGTCTGGCTTTTGGAGCGGACTCCAGAGAAACTTCAGCAGGGGCTGGTCATTCTTCACAATGACGAAAGGTGTGGGAGAATCTGACCACGAGCTACGAGCTCCGGCGGACAACGGAGTCCGGCAAGCTGCAGAGATTGTCAGCAACAGCTTCACTAATGACGTCAGCGACAGGCCCAGTGGCAGCAAGAGGAGTACACATCTTAGTCAGCAAGAGGTTCATGTTCTGCCATTTTCAGATTTAAACACAGATCTTAAGGTAAATATGCGTATATTCTTTTAGAAGACCATTACATCAAGAATGTTGTTACGTGAACTCAGAGTTGTGGTTTCACTGTGGTTTACTGAAATATCCATACAAAGGCAAGATGAGTCATCGACATGTTTGGGGAGAGGCTGAGACAAGGAGGTAGATAGTTAATCTCTGTTTAGAAATAAACAGCCATCAGTTTTATGTGTGGTTACACGAATATCGAAGAACTGGAACACTTTGTGACAACTTAACACATTTATCGTAAGATCTACCGAGGAATACAGCGGAGAAAGATTCTTGAGAGACTGCTGCTATGGCATAGAAAAGTCATTCATGATCTTGGAGATAGTAAAATATGGAGTAAGACAATCTACGACGCCACTCGGCAAGGTACTTAATGATGATGGTGTTGTTGAAAAGCGTCGTCGGGAGAATCTGACATGATATCATTGATGACTTTTGTCTTCTGCTGCCAGTGAATGCGACGTTGAATCATTTAAAAACATGAAACAGTCGCTTAGACATTCAGGGGAAGTCACGCTTAGACATTCAGGGGAAGTCACGAATAGCATTTGTGGGTGTGTGGATTAGTGTTTGCGTGCACGATAAAGCCATGAGTAAATATAAGTGAATAGATAATTTTGTGTTGTTAATACTTGTTTTATGAAGTGTTGTATAACAAACACATCATCAGATTTTGACTACTTTGTGTATAATTTCATCTGTGTTTAATTTCCCATCCATATTCCACGCAACAAGCTTTACTTTATAATGTAGCACTGTTTATTTTAACCGGATTGTCTGACTTTCTGAAGTCTTTCCCATGCACTACCTACCATACTGATTTCTCAGTCCCCGGTACCTCCCATACTTGAACCAACTTATCACCACGTCGTCACATAAGCTGAAGACCTCATATGTTCCTTGTCTTGTCGTCTCCTGCAGCCAGACAAAGACCCGGTGGTGGAGATCGAGATGCACAGCCTGCTTCCCAAACCTTCACCCGACGACGACGACAACTGGACCGACAGTGAGGATGAAGAGGACTATACCCAGAAGGTCCAATCGGCAAACATTATTGCCAAGATAGTTTTAGGCTTCAGAAGAGGCCTCTCGTTGACCATTTCATGCATCATAGAAAAAACCAACGGTCATCTGTTCACAGTCATTTTCCTCCTGGCTTACCTGGCATATTTCATTGCTGCATTGATTTACAGGTGAGAGAATCGGATTCGTTATGTCCTGTCGTTTATGTCACTTCTTGTTTCATTCTCTGTCAATGGTTTTTTTTATCCTTCTTATTTTATATGAACAGGAAACTAAAACTAAAACGAGGATTTAAACTAAAAAAGGTCAAATGTGATGTGAATTCTAGTGAATTAGAAAATAGTTTAAAGCGGGAAATTCAAAATCAAAATCAGTTACGTGATTACCATGGTAACGTCAAATTGATTACGTTATCTTTCTGTTTACATAACATAGAAGAGTAGGGTTTTATTGATTCAGCCTCGACCACTTTAAGCAAGCGTCTGTTCAGTGTGTAGTCAATCATCCTGAAAGCACAATCTTTATCAACTGCGTGTCTAGAGCCAAAGGAACTCCTATTGAAGAATTAGATTCTCTCTTCTTGGCCAATCTTAATGCAGGATCTCCATTCAGTTTTGTGTGGAGCTATTTAGGGACGCGTTCTGCCACTGAGTTTTCAAGCGGTCTCTCCGTTCGACTGATGTAAGTCAGCAGACACTTACATGTAAATTGATAAATGCAACTGGATTTGGTCTGCGGAGCTACTGGTTCTTTAACACAAGTAGTAGGAAATGCGAGTGGTCTTGTATCTTACCCCTGGGACAGTGGCAAAAAACGTTTGACCGATGACTGTTTCTAGTCAGACCAGCAGACGTGCATGAAATCGTCTCCTCGAAATGTGAGTGGGACGAATGTCAGGCAATAAATTGTGCAACGCTTGGTTTGTGTCTGCAGCATTCAAATAATCAACGGGAAACATTGTTTTAAAATCTAAAATATAAATTCTAGTAGAGTTTCAAAACAAAGGAAAAATACAAATTGAAATTAAATTTCAAGTAAAGCGAAGTTTCTGGTCGTATTCGAACATACTGACCAGTTTAGAGAAAAATGGAAAAGGTTTCCCATGTATATAATCTTTGATTGCAGATTTGACGATGAAGGCTCACATCGCCTATTGGGTTTTACCATCGTCGGTGTCATTATCAAAACACGGACCTTCATCTACAACAGTTGTGAAAGGTTGGTTCGGAAAGTGGTCGGAACTGAGAAAACTTCTGCCAGATTTCAGGAACGTTTGGCCACTGCACGATTTTTCTCTCGCTGGTAAGTACTGGTTATATCAGACCATACTGGCATGTAAAGACAATAAAATTACCCCAATAAAACTAATCTTTCTTCTTCTTTTTTTCTGAACTCATGGGATGCCTCACAGCGCCAGGACAGGAAGAGATATATAGAACGGGCCCTTTTGCTCGCTTCGTATATAATGCTTTTCAGTGTCTCTGATATTTCTGCTGCCCGTGATCTGTGTGGTCGAATGTTCTAGCTGTATCTGTATAACATGGCTCTCTGTGGTGCCCTGTCTGCTGCCAGTCGTGTTACATGGCCAAACCATTTGATTTGTTATCTGGCTGTAAAGTTTAGCACTGGTTCTGTGTCGACTCTCCTCCTGATATCATCGTCGGTAAGTCAATCTTTCCACGTTACACCTGGCATAGTAGGTAAACATTTCATTTCTGTCGAGACTACTTTTCTTGTCTTCTGAAGACAGCGTCCATGTTTGACACTTTTATCGCAGCGATGATAACAATGTTTTGTCGATCAGTACTCTTTTAGTGTTTATCCTTACGTGCTTTTATTTCACTGTTACTGCCAGTGGCCTTATAACTTTTGTTGGTCTTAATGCAATCATCACTGCATTTCTTTATTCATTCTTCAGTTCGTTCTGTACAAAGTATACTTCCTAGATAAGAGATAACAATAAGCCATACAGTTCCTCGAACAACGGCGGGAAATTAAAAGGTTATGGACTTCTGTCACGTTAGGGCTCAGCGGGTCAGTGATGCTAAACATATATGTGTGTACAGACCCGACAGTCGACGATGGGTGATATGATCAACACTACCCCAGGCCGTCTTTACTTCTCTTGTCATTTTCTGTATATAATTTAGACTTCGTCAGCCTGAGAACAGAGGTCTTTAAAAAAAAAAAAAAAAACAGCAAATGATGAGGATTGGAACCCAAGAGTCTCGGACCGATAGGAAAAAGTCAAGACAGCGAAAAATCACTGTAAGGAAAAGTCACCGCAGGGAAAAGTTAACATAGGGAAAAGTCGCCACAGGGAATTGTCAGCACAGGGAGAAATTATAAGTGTGTGACAATCGAAGAGCCTAAATGTGCGGTGTATGTGAACGATACAGCAGAAATATTTCTGTCTACACTCTCGGGAGTTGTAAGAAGTTGAGAGAAAACAGAATGTGATTGGTTGGATTTAGGGGAGGTGTTCATTACAGCTCATTTGTTGTTTACGACTGAAAGAAGGCTATCATTTAGTTTGCCCTGTAATTTACAGCAAGAGACCGAGCCCACACCCCAGCTTTTTCTTCTGGTGCTGCTTGTAGTTTCATTAGGCAATCTAAATTCGGAAACTAAACATTGCCTCCTGGACGTCAGCTATCAATACCACTGTTGAAACCAACGCAAGGCGTTCTGCTGGCAAATCGCCTGCAGCTGAAAAAGGAATGATGAAGCCCGTTCGCAACGCCTAAGCCACAGAAACCAGCACATGAATATACAGTATGTGAACTATCCCGATATTTCTGTGACGTCACAGTGCTGTATAATGTATTTACTTCGGACTTGACCTCTGGTGTCCGTCTCCAGGCTGCTCTATGGAGGAGTGGCCGCCGTCATGGCCTGGGTCATCATTGAGAAGGCGATGACTGATCCCCGAAACCTGAGCTCCCTCCCCGGCATTCTGGTGATTCTGCTGGTCTGCTTGATGTTTTCCACCAAACCAGAGAAGGTCAGTCAGTTCTTCAGATAGAATCCTAGATCAGTTTTCATGTCTCCACTGTTAAGTCCGTATTTTTTTAATCACCCTTTTCAATAAATGTAATCCGCTGACCAAAGCTCAGTCTTCATTCATAATCTGAGATACAGATTATAGAAGTGAGTGCCATATTGTGGGATAAATTGGGGATGTCTGGGTTTGGACAGAGAGAGAGAGAGAGAGAGAGAGAGAGAGAGAGAGAGAGAGAGAGAGAGAGAGAGAGAGAGAGAGAGAGAGGGGGAGAGAGAGAGGAAGAGAGAGAGACATATGGGTATAAACACAGACAGACGAACGGATGGATGCATGGACAGAGAGACAGGTAGACAGAAAGATAGATAGATTGACAGATTAGATAGATAGTTAGGTAGATAGATAGATAGATAGATAGATAGATAGATAGATAGATAGATAGATAGATAGATAGATAGATAGATAGATAGATAGATAGATAGATAGATAGATAGATAGATAGATAGATAGATAGATAGATAGATAGATAGATAGATAGATAGATAGATAGATAGATAGATAGATAGATAGATAGATAGATAGATAGATAGATAGATAGATAGATAGATAGATAGATAGATAGATAGATAGATAGATAGATAGATAGATAGATAGATAGATAGATAGATAGATAGATAGATAGATAGATAGATAGATAGATAGATAGATAGATAGATAGATAGATAGATAGATAGATAGATAGATAGATAGATAGATAGATAGATAGATAGATAGATAGATAGATAGATAGATAGATAGAGGGTGGATGGAGTGATGAATGCAAAGACAGATAGAACGAATGAACGAACAAACTTGTGTTTTCCAAAGGTTAAGAATTGGGCACGTAGGCCCGTCTAACATTCTGCCCTTCCACTCCTGGCATACAGTTATTCATTCGTAGCTCATTTTATAGTTACTACTACTAATAATAATAGTAATAAAAATAATAAATGTTTACAAAATCTAAGTCCTAATTACAAACACTGGAATGTGATCTAATTATACTTACATTCATGAACGTTTTGAAAATTATAGTAATACAATTAATCCAAAAGTGATGAAAGTCTAATGGGTTGCATAATATGAACATCATCAACATCAAATAAATATTAGTAACCTAAGCTGGAATCCGTCAAACTGGCATCTCAATTTTAAAACAATAATAACTTTCAGTGTAAAATGTATAGGTCTCTTGTAGGTTCAGAGAATCTCAATATGTTAAGACGTTTGCTATGCCTCCCATTGTATTTAAATAATGGCCAAGGTAACATGGTTCATAGCGAATGCGAATGGACGTCGCTTGGCGCAACAAAGTCTGGCAGATGATATCACAACGTCTAGTTCCAGCATAGAGGTGCAAGCAGTAACTGCTGCCTTCTGCTGGCTTGAGAATCAGCTGTACACACACACGTCGTCTACGTAACTGACTCACAGAGGATGTTGAGACAGATGGGGACAGGCATGCTCCGTGCAGAGTGGCAAGCATCACTTCAGAGGTCCCAGTTAGTTAGCATACTTTGGATATTTTCTCCAGGTCAACGCCGGTGTGTTGGGAAATGAGCAGGCAGGTAATCTGGCCGGTTCTGTACCACTTGGTGGTGAACTGATATGTGACAAGCTGGATGTTGTGAGGGCCCTTTGGGAGCGAGAGAACAGTGCCGAGGAACAGATAGGTCGGAGGAGAAGGGCACTGCTAGGAGTTACAAGAGGATCTGGTCGATGCTCGACACTCGGGGGTGGGGCGAGACGGATATACAATCAGACTCTTACCAGTACCATCGGAATTTTAACTCTTCGCTCGCTGCTGAAGATGGGGACTGAGCGCTTATGGGAGTGTCCCGAGTGCTGTGATGTCGATTCTTAATTCAACATTCACCATTCAGTATTCAGATAAATAGGTAAATATGCAGCAGACAGCAGACATACAGTAGTACAGACAGACATACAGACAGACAAATAGCTAACAGCACCAGAGCCTCATCCACAGATCAACTGGCACACCATCTACTGGGGTCTGGGACTACAGTTTATCCTGGCCCTGCTGGTTCTCAAGTGGAGCTTCGGCAAACAGGCCATCTTGTGGGTTCAGTCCAGACTGGACGAGTTCTTCGAAAATGCTGCAGCTGGATCAAAATTCCTCTTTGGAGACAGCTACCAAGATCACTACATCACTTTCGGGGTAAGGTGTCCGGTGCTTGTGCGCATCTTCTTTATCTTCTTCTGTCCGTTTTGTTCTTCTCTACTCCTGGAATGCCTCGTAGCGTCAGGAAAGGAAGAAATCTTTGAAACATGCCCATTGGTTCACCTTGTGTATATATTACTTTTGAGTGTCTCAGATATTTCCTCAGTCTATTTTCTATGTGGTCGACCTCTGGCCCCGTATAACATAGCTCTCTGTGGTGCCCTATATGGTGCCCTGTCTGGTGCCCTATCTGGTGCCCTGTCTGGTGCCCTGTCTGGTGCCCTGTCTGGTGCCCTGTCTGGTGCCCTATCTGGTGCCCTGTCTGGTGCCCTGTCTGGTGCCCTGTCTGGTGCCCTGTCTGGTGCCATTCATTTTAAGGTGTTGTTTTGTTGTTGTTGGTCAGCGTATGTGTTTTTGATCTGTGTCTATGGGTCGTGTCTGTGTGTATGTGTTTTATCTATGAGTGTGTGTATGCCTGTTTATGTTGTGTGCGTATATGTGTCATCTATGTGTGTATAAAGGTGTTGTGTATGTGGTGTTTTTGTGTGTGTCTATGATGTGTGAGTATTTTTGCCTGTATACTTGAAGGTATGCATTCGTCATCCAAGCCTGTGTATGTTTTTTTTTTTTCATTTATAATATGAATTTTGAAAGATGAACGTAATATACTAAATGAATAAAATACAATTACCGTTTGAAAGATGAATGCTGAAAGCGCTCAATGCAAGACGGGCTTGCGTGCGTTTGTAACCTTTTGGAAAGTTCGTTCGCTCGTTCGTTCGTTCCCGTTTTTTCTAATCATTTCGCATTTAATTATTTATTGCTTGCTATCCAGCCACAAGCGTCGAACATCTATTGTTCTGGAAAATGTCAACTACTGATATACTCTACACAGTAGCTGAAGAAATTCAGCAACCACTGCCAATACCCCCGTTATCTTTCTGATCCCAGGTGACGCTCTAACCCCCCCCACCCCCTTTTTTTGGTTCTCATTGTCTGTGTGTGACCGTGTGCCTTAAACACCATTGAGCTTTCTGCTTCTGGCAACATTCTTCTTTCTCTATATTCTCCTAACATGACCAGCAATTTGATGATATGTCTCTGATGTAAAAAAAAAAAAAAACCCAGCTAAGATCCCTTTTCACGCCTTAGGCGCATCGGGTATATGGGAAGAGCGTCCCATATTTTTGCAGACCAATCGGCACTGGATGGGTAATGTTGTCAGCATTGAGCCGGCCGTCTTTACTTCCCCAAGACAGCCACAGGAGTCAGTAAACATCTGCGGCAACTACCTGTAGCTGACTAAGCCCATACAACTGGCTGGTTGTCCATTGGATTATGCACATGACAAAGAGGGATTCAATCACCAGTTAGCTGATCTTCTCTGTACAGGAAGTTACACAATCAACTCCAACATTTCTTGGCTGTTTGCGTTTAATAAGCGATTTTGCCTTAATTAGTTTGCCATTGCTTTCTAAACCTTGGCCGCTTTATGCCATCCAGTCAATTGATTATCTCCTTACATAAAGCTGGTGATAATGAAACAACATTCTTATCCACTATGGTATTTCTGTACTACAGTTATGTTCTCAACTATTGTGTGCTGCTTAAAATTTTTTAAATGCAAACTAGATAGAACCGGCAGATTACTCATTTTTTTTTCTTAAAAAGTGGCAGCCGTAGCAATGTTTGGTAAAACTTACATAAAAATAAGCAAATCTATTGATATACTTCGGGTCTTTCAGTGTTTCAGGAATGGTCATTCGATGAAGGCATGAACCTTACTCCCTTCCCCATCTCGTGCCTCCCCCACGCACTCATGCACGCACACACACACGCACACACACACACTCAATATGACTCCAATATTTGATGAACTATTGCCTCCAACATTTGATGAACTATTGCCTCCAATATTTGATGAACTATTGCCTCCAATATTTGATGAACTATTGCCTCCAATATTTGATGAACTATTGCCTCCAACAGGCGCTTCCACTGTTGTTCTTCACCAACGGAGTCCTGACTCTCTTATACTATCTCGGGGCCATGCAGCTCATTATCAAAGTCATCGGGAATTTCCTGACCTTTGTTCTGGACACCACGGGCATCGAGTCTATGGCGGTGGCAGCTGGAATCTTCATGGAAGGGGTAAGATAAGTTCGACCAGTTGAAGCTCGGCCAGTTGAAGCTCGATCAGTTGAAGCTCGATTAGTTGAAACTCAATCAGTTGAAGCTCAGTCAGTTGAAGCTCGATCAGTTGAAGCTCGATCAGTTGAAGCTCGATCAGTTGAAGCTCGATCAGTTGAAACTCAATCAGTTGAAGCTCAGTCAGTTGAAGCTCGATCAGTTGAAGCTCAGTCAGTTGAAGCTCGATCAGTTGAAGCTCAATCAGTTGAAGCTCGATCAGTTGAAGCTCGATCAGTTGAAGCTCGATCAGTTGAAGCTCAATCAGTTGAAACTCGATCAGTTAAAGCTCGATCAGTTGAAGCTCGGTATTTGGGACCAGTTGAAGTACTGGTAGTTAGGTTCAGTTTAGATTCCCTGTTAGGATCAGCTAGGATCAGTTAAAGCTCGGTAGTTAGAATCAGATGAAGCTCGATCAATTAGGATTCGTTGAACCTCGGGTATTTAGGATCAGTTAAAGCTCGGTAGTTAGGTTCAGTTTAGATTCCGTAGTTAGGATCAGATAGGATCAGTTAAAGCTCGGCAGTTAGAATCAGATGAAGCTCGGGCAATTATGATTCGTTGAACCTCGGGATTCAGGATCAGTTGAAGCTCGTCAGTTGGGATCAGTTGAAGTACGGGTAGTTAGGATCAGCTGAAGTTCATTTGAAGCTCGATAGTTAGGATCAGTTGAAGCTCGGTAGCTAGGATCAGTTGAAGTACGGATAGTTAGGTTCAGTTGAAGCTCAGCAGTTAGGACCAGTTGAAGCTCGACAGTTGGGATCAGTTGAAGCTCGGCAGTTAGGATCAGTTGAAGTACGGGTAGTTAGGGTCAGTTGAAGCTCGGCAGTTGGGATCAGTTAAAGCTCGGCAGTTGGGATCAGTTAAAGTTCGGCAGTTAGGATCAGCTGAAGTACGGGTAGTTAGGATCAGTTGAAGCTCAGCAGTTAGGATCAGTTGAAGTACGGGGTAGGAGGATCAGTTGAAGCTCGGCAGTTGGGATCAGCTAAAGTACGGGTAGTTAGGATCAGTTGAAGCTCGGCAGTTAGGGTCAGTTGAAGTCTGGTTACAAGGAAGGCAATGTGGACCAGAAATGATTTAAACCCACGATCTTTGGATTCGCAGGCAAACATCTAGTGGGTAGACAACAGAGGCTGCCTGTAAATGTTATAGACGTCTATCTGTACAAGTGGAGTTTTTGTTATTAATTTCTTGTTAATGCACTTTATCATTATTGTTATCATTATTATTATTATTAATTTTTTTAATAATATTATTATTATAATTAGTATTGTGCTGTTACCATTAAGAATGTTGCTTATATAGTTTTATTGATTGATACGTTATTTCATAATAATAATAATAATATTAATAATAATTTTAATATTAATAATAATAATAATATTAAAACAACATTCCCAATAAAATATAATACACCCGATTGTAGACTTAAAATCTACAACATTTACAATGTCATACAAATCTTTTTCTTATATTATTTTTTTTACACTTCTTGGATCCAACTTACAAATGATTGTTGTATCTTGGTATAAATCTTTTTTGTTTGTAAGAACGCTCATGGTGCCATGACGATTCGAAGCAAACAGTCACCATGCTTACAGTTACCATAGTAACGGGAACTTTTATAAACATAAAATTGTGTGCTTCTCATTGGCGTTTTACTCTCAGCTGGTCATCCCCAGTATTAGCCTCTGTGGGTTATGGATTTTAAAAGTTGTATGCGGGATATGCTAAAAAAATTATCACCACACATCGCTGCATATGTCAACTGATTTCCACAAAATCCGAATGTCTGTGTCAGCTGTTGTATATACTATTTTTAGGTGTACGAACAAAGATGAAAGAAATTCGCCACGTTAAGAAAAAAGCAACACCTGTGCAGCTGTAAACTATAACATCAAAAGTACATGCGAAATCTAAAACCACATAAAATGTGTGTTGATCCGTACAAACTTTTGGGGGACATTTGTTAAAATATGAGAGCAAGACTTTTGAAACGCACTATAAAATGTGTCTGCCCTTCTGTCCACAGATTACATCCCTAACCGCCTTCAGACCATACCTGCGGACGCTCTCAAAGTCGCAGATGTTTCTCGTGGTCACCTCGTGTTTCTCCTCGCTAGGCGGCGCCTACCTGGCTGTGCTTTCCAAAATGGGGGTGAGTGACCCGCCCCTACCACCAGCAGTTCCACATCTCAAAAATACCGTGTGTTGTTGTTGCAGTTGTGTGTGTTGGTTTTTGTAGAACACGTGAAGTGAGTTATTCATTCTTGTAAGATATCCCCCCCCCCCCCCCCCCCCCCCCAATTAAAAAAAAAAAAAAAAAATTGTAATCCGGCGATGACTTAAATACGTCTTGGAAGCCCATCCATGTTTTAGGTTTGCAGATCCTTAAATTCATCAACTTAAGTCAAGTACCCTTTTCCGCGCCTTCAAGGGTATTGGGCATATAGGGCTAGATCCATAGTTGATAGCAATCGGCACACTTTGGTAATCTGATCAATATCATGACAACCCCATTTACTTCCCAGGACTTTAGCTGGTACCCATTTAAGGCTGGATCGACCTGGCAGCCATGATTCTTTTTGAAGTTGTTTTGTCGGTTCGTCAAGACTGGAACCCTAGACCTTCGGATCCGCACGCGAGAGTCTAGCCGCTTCATCACGGCAGTTCCCCTCAGATTCATAGAAAAGATCCTCATCTTGTGAGAAAAATATACCGGAAACAACAAGCGCGGCGGAAGAGTTCACTGCGCAGGTCTACACAAGACAGACAAGAGAGGTGGGTACAACGATTTGTAATTTTTCGAGAGCTCTTTGACTTTCTATACTAAGGATTTTCACAGACTTACAAACATATTCCTATCAGAGGTCCTGCCATAACCAGTATAAGATGTGTAGTTGTGATACTGTGTACACAGACAACAACTGATTACATCTCATACCGTTATGTGTGTTGGACACACACGACTAAAGTTTGCATTGTGTGTGGGACACACACATGACTAAAGTGTGCACTGTGTGTTGGACACACACGACTAAAGTGTGCATTGTGTGTGGGACACACAGGACTAAAGTGTGCATTGTGTGTGGTACACACACATCTAAATTGTGGAGTTACAGTCTTAAGTATTCACAAGAGTAACGTTTAGCCTAAGATAATCCAATGATGACCTTGTCAGGTTTCCGTGGAGTTCATTATTGGCGCCATGTTGGTGTCGGCTCCTGCCACCTTCACCGTCTGCAAGTTGATGATCCCAGAGTCCAGGGCCGTCAATAAAAAGAACGACGAAGCGATCAAGAAAATCGGAGAGGAAGAGAAAGGGTGAGAACTCGTATGTCTGTCTGCATGTCAGTCTAACTTTGTATATCTGCTATTTTATATGAAAGACATATCTACATGTGTGAAAAGTTTTTAAAATGTCCTTTCACAATAAAAAACAATATCTTCATATGTGCAGATTTTTAAAATGTCTCTTTCTACAATATAAGCAGACAACAAACAAGCCGCTATTTTTTATGACCATTGACTGTTTTTAGCACGGAGCAAAAAGCTAACACTCCACTGAAAATATTGAATTGATGCAACAAGTTTACGGGGATAATTGTTTATCTCGTGCACACATTTTCAGCTGGTATTCACGATTCAAAAGTTTTGTGGAAATGATTACTAATGCACCTATACCTGGACGCAAAATTTCTGTTTGTAATGATGAACTCACTGCAAAATTCAGAGAACGGATACAAGAAGATCTTTGTTTTACTGTGAGGATGATGGCTATCTCGTGTAGAGAGACCATTCGCTTTAAGTGGACCTTGCCTACCGGTTTTACCACATACGTTGTTTAATGATCAAAAAACACCAGCGGGTTGAGTACCCGTGAGACATAATCAAAACATTAATTTTTGGCCCAAAAACGTAATTTCAGTAGTGGCTAGAATAAAGTTACCTGACATCCATTGGGCCGTAACTTCGACTTTAAAGACCATAACAACAGAAGAACTGCAGATGTCGTTCCACTGTTTTTTTTTTTAAAGATCGTGCCACTTGCTGTATCAATGCACAAGGGGCTTACTTTGAATCAGATAGGGTTACATCTTCAACTGTTGATTATTTTAATGTGTATGGAATTAGTCTCATTACTTAATTGTCGGACCTTGTATGTTCACCTTTTGAAACAGTGTTTTCTTACCTGTGAAACAACATCTTGCCTGTAATCTCGACAATGTTCATTACCTGTGAGACAATGCCTTACCTATCACCTCCACCGAGGAGCTGCAACAGTGTAGTGGCTAGATGCTCGCTTGCAGATCCGAAGTATATCGGTTCAAGTTCTGATGGAGACAGACGTTATTATTTCTTTAATTAAATGACCTTGACTCCCAGGCCGACCCAGCCATAAATGGATACCAGGTAAAGTCCTAAGAAGTAAAAGCGGCCGGTGTAATGTTGATCACATGACCCACTGAATACTGATAGGTTTATAAACAATAGATCTAGCCATGTAAGTCCAATACGCATGAACGCGTACGAAAGGGTCCCTTTTAATGCCCCGCCCCCTTCCCCCAACAGTTTGCTTGAGTGACGTGCCCATTGCATCCTTGCAGACAATACTCCAACGCCATGGATGCCATGCAGACAGGGGCGCTCATCATGTTGTCAGTTGTAGGCAACATCGCCGTCAGCTGCTTCACCCTCATCTCTGTCATCGAGTGGGTGAACAGCACCACAGTCTGGTTCGGCGACCGCATCGGCGTCGAGGGACTCACTATGGAGGTGGGTGCTCTATGTCAAGCTACTTTCAGCAGTCTCTGTGTAGTAATGGTACAGTCTAGATCTTGTGTTTTTGTTCTCATTTACAGGCGCTTGTTTGTTTTTACAGTTACAATTGTTTTAACGACTGTGTGACAAACATTGATGCGCTCGAAACTTCACAGGCCCACTTTTACCTATATTTTTAGTGCTTCATTTTTGTGAATGTTTCCTATATATGTTCATAAGGGGAGTGCTTGTAGTTTGTGTTTATCTACCCCCAGACGAGTTTTACCTTTGTGATTAAACTCGTAGTTTTCCCAAGCAAACTTTTTCTTTTCACGTTATCTAGTGTTGTGTTGTTCGTTCATAGAGGCGTTGTTCATTTTTGACGAATAATTGCCACGAAATTTAAAACATGTACACATTTTTCTTTTTCTATTGTGTTTGTTATTTTCTGTTTGTTCTGGATTGTACATATTTTGTGTTTATTAACAGAATAGCTGTAATTCCACCGATCAGTCATGACTTTTTCCTGGCATCTGTTGACCTTGTTAACCGTCCCCGAAGTGTCCTATGATTTCCCCATTGTTTGGTAATATTATAACATTATCTTCAATAGTATTGCCAGAATAGTCAAGCCCATAGCCACGCAACTGCTGAACCTAACAAACAACCCTTTCAGACCAGAGTATCCCTTATTTTAGGAATGGCGGGTTTTGTTGATTGCATATTCAATTTTCAAATCTCAAAACTGTTTTCTACTGGATAAATACATATACTTGTATATGTATGTGCACACCGATTAGAAAAAAAATATGGCAGAAAGCATGGTACCAGGAAGGAGGGGCAGGGGCCGACCGACACGAAGATGGGCACAAGATATGAGTGACTCCTTGTGTAATGAAAGTACATGAGTCGGGAGAACTGGTGAGAGACCGCGTTTCTTTCAGGCAGACCACGATGAGAGCGACGTTCTGCAAAGGACCTGCTACATGACGATGATATTCACACATGGTCAGTTTCAGACCTCGTGGTGGCGCGTAGTTATTATTGATCTGTTGTGAGAAGAGACAGTGTGATTTGTGTACGTCAGCGGAAAACGTCATTGATCACTGGCATCGTGAGATCTAATAGACTGAGATGACGAAGGCATATGGTGAAAATGTCAGAAGGCAGACTTGTAAAAACTGTATACACCAGGGATCTGAATTATCGTAGACAGCGGGGCAGACCAAGAAGACGATGGAGAGATAATGTCCAGACAGATATACATACACTTGGTGTCACCAGATGGAAAGAGTAGGCGAACCAGAGAGATGAGTGGAGGCAAGTGATATCTGCATCAAAGAACCTCAGGGGTTCCGAATGCTGAATAAGAATAAGAAGTGGAAAGGATTCCTGTTTTGTGCGTCATGATATGCTCATGCAGCTGTAATGAGATGTAGCAAAATGTGCAGAACACCGCAACATGCATTGTTGACGTCCGCACTGTTTAACCAATACATTGGGACACATTCTTCTTCTCCTCAAAGTCCTTGCCGTGTGGCACTGATAGTCATATCAGTCCACAACCTTCTGTCTCGTGTACTTTCAATCAACTCTGACACAGATGATCTTCCATGCCGTGTGGCACTGATAGTCATATCAGTCCACAACCTTCTGTCTCGTGTACTTTCAATCAACTCTGACACAGATGATCTTCCATGCCGTGTGGCACTGATAGTCATATCAGTCCACAACCTTCTGTCTCGTGTACTTTCAATCAACTCTGACACAGATGATCTTCCATGCTGTGTGGCACTGATAGTCATATCAGTCCACAACCTTCTGTCTCGTGTACTTTCAAACAACTCTGACACAGATGATCTTCCATGCTGTGTGGCACTGATAGTCATATCAGTCCACAACCTTCTGTCTCGTGTACTTTCAAACAACTCTGACACAGATGATCTTCCATGCCGTGTGGCACTGATAGTCATATCAGTCCACAACCTTCTGTCTCGTGTACTTTCAAACAACTCTGACACAGATGATCTTCCATGCTGTGTGGCACTGATAGTCATATCAGTCCACAACCTTCTGTCTCGTGTACTTTCAATCAACTCTGACACAGATGATCTTCCATGCCGTGTGGCACTGATAGTCAAATCAGTCCACAACCTTCTGTCTCGTGTACTTTCAATCAACTCTGACACAGATGATCTTCCTTGCCATGATGTCAAACCATCCAGCATCTGTTATCTCGGTCTCCCCCTGCCTCTCCTCCTCTCCAACTTTCCTAACGTCACGATGTACTCCAGTTTTCTCCTTCTCATCACGTGACATAAGAATGTAGATTGTCCCTTTCTGACGTAGGACGACACATTATTTAGCCATAATTTAAACTGGTAGTGGAGTTAATTATGAACTGAGTTTAAACAAAAAAAGTTGGACAGCATAGCCATTGTTCGCTGTATAGCTAACGAAGACGTGTCTCCACAGTTCATAGCCTCGTACCTGCTGTATCCAATATCTGTCGGGATGGGTGTGGAGCTCGCTGACTGTCGCAGGGTGGCCATGCTCAACGGATATCGTGTGGTCAGCTCCAACATTGTGGCATTTTTCAAGGTAATCATTGTGTTTGCTCTTTGCCAAGTGTCATCTCCGCAGAAAAGCTTTCAACAATGGGTCTTTATTATGTTCCTCTTTTCGCATTCTCTGGCGATTTTTGAGTAATGCCTCTTTGTTATTTACACATGAGTACCATTTTCTGTCTTTTACAAGCTCGACTCTGACGTTTGTCTCCCGTATGATCTTTCTACATTCGCATATCCTTGCGCATGGCAAAACAGTTAAAGTGTTTTTTTTTATTGCTTCCAACAGTTAACATCCATTTTCTCTGAACGTGTATATTTATTGTTTTTGATGTCATTGAATATTTCTGGTTCACTGACCGTGGTTCTATACCACTAACACGACGTGAGCGATTGACGACTGCATTTTGCTTGTGTTTTTTCAATGTGTCTATTTATTTATGATTTCACTTTACAAATCATATAAAACTAATTAATTTGTTCATCTTCTTATGGGTCTTTGGTCTAAACCTGTTGCCACACAAACATTTAAGAACATTGGAAACAACATTGATAACCACAGAAACATCTGACACCAGTGGAAACAACATTGATAACCACAGAAACATCTGACACTAGTGGAAACAACATTGAAAACCACACAAACATCTGACATCAGTGAAGACAACATTAATAACCATGGAAACCTCTGACATCAGTGGAGACAACACTGATAACCACACAGACATCTGACACCAGTGGAGACAACATTGATAACCACAGAAACATCTGACATCAGTCGAGACAACATTGATAACCACACAGACATCTGACATCAGTGGAGACAACATTGATAACCACGGAAACCTCTGACATCAGTCGAGACAACACTGATAACCACACAGACATCTGACACCAGTGGAGACAACATTGATAACCACAGAAACATCTGACATCAGTCGAGACAACATTGATAACCACACAGACATCTGACATCAGTGGAGACAACATTGATAACCACGGAAACCTCTGACATCAGTCGAGACAACACTGATAACCACACAGACATCTGACATCAGTCGAGACAACATTGATAACCACACAGACATCTGACATCAGTGGAGACAACATTGATAACCACACAGACATCTGACATCAGTGGAGACAACATTGATAACCACGGAAACCTCTGACATCAGTGAAGACAACATTGATAACCTAGGCCTGATTCCCGCCAGCCTGTGAAGGAGCAGCTTACCCAAGTTCTAATCCTGCTTCTACGAAGATGGGTGCTCTAACTTTCTTAGCCGGCCTGTTCATGCTCTTTTGAACCATGACCTTACCATGTTGGTTCTGGGGCCACATTTTGGAGACAAAACAAGAAGCATGTCGTAAGATTTGATTATTATAGGGGTTTCCTTTGAAGTCACAGTACATATGCTAGAGAGGCAGGCAACCAAAAAGTAATCCAGATCGGTAAAATGGATCTGCACGCAAAACTCAAGTACTGGAACAAGACCAAAGTCCAGAGGTGGACGAACAACCAGAACTTTCCGCTGGAGTTTACAGCTGGTGAGCGCCAAGATAAAGAAGAAGAAGAAGAAGAACCAGAATCAGGTCACATCCTGATGTCAAGTAACCGGGAAACGATGCTTTCAATTCCTTTGACCTGTCATATAGGGATAGATCTATATTTTATAGACACATCGGCACTCGGTGGGTCATGTGGTTAACATCACGCCGGCGGCCTTTACTTCCCAGGGCTTTACCTCGTATTTGTTTTAGGCTGGGTCGACCTAGGACCCAGATTCAGTTTTGAGAGAGACAAGATGCAGATTTGATCCACTGGTCTTCGGGCTGGCAGGCTAGCGTACATCCTGATGTACCATCTGCAAATATGCAATATCCATACCTGTCCGAAACACTTCACTGGTTAAATGAGCTTGGGGAAGGGAATGGAAGCCCTGTCAGACAATCCCTGACCTTATGTTACTAAGGTACCGGGTAAAGAAGTTTGAGTGGTGGGATGGGGTTTCCTCACACTAATGTGTGAGTGCGAACGATATCATCCTTGTTTAGGGCTCACACCACATGACCATGAGTCAGTACATGGGGCTTAAGAATGAAAATGGTACGGTCTTCCAGAGGATTACAGTTAACCAACCAGCTCAGCCCTCTATCACCAACCAACCAGCCAACCCACCAACACAACAATCGATCAGACACGTTCAACCAGCTTTCCGTAGTGGACAGCTTTAGGTTATATTGTGGTCTTTGAATTGTTGCGCCAAATTAATCGCCTAATACTGCTTGCCACCAAGTAACCCTAAAGAACCTCTTGCAGTGTTCATGCGATGACTCCAACTACTTTCCGGACCGGCGACGAAGTGAACCATTGGTCAGCAAATAAGCTACCTGGTCGCCGATGTTTTACTGCACCGTAACTCTCTTCATGTCTAATGCGTCACACATTTCTGTTATTGTCTTTCAGCTGACGGAAATGAGGGACAACAGGATCAAATTCGAAGACTACATGTTGAAAACTAACGGAACCGGAAATGTGACCTACATTAATGATGACATCATCCTTGAAGACTGGGGAGAGACTCTTCACTTGGGATATCTATCGGTAGGATATCACTAGTTATTTTGATCGCTCTCGCTGTTGATGTTGGCTAATTATACTGATCATGTTGATGATTTCAGATCAACAGATTTCATCTTGAGTTGTGTGGGGAACAAATATAAACTAGCTTGTTCCTCTTTTTGTTTTCCTTCAGGGCTCCGAGCCTTCGAGATTCCTTGCTGCAGAAATCAGTCTCCTGTATTCAACTGTCTAGTTGGCATTTTTTTTTCCTGTTGGTGACATCAAATTTTTGTCGAGCTCTCGCTCTATATTATTTCTCCATCGTCTTCTTGGTCTGCCTCGTGGTCTACGACCATTCAACTCCCTTGTGTACAGATTTTACCTCTCTGTCATCTAAATTCTTTCAGTGTGTCCTCGCCATTTCAATCGATCAGCCCTTGACTGTAAATCTGCGACAGTGAGTTTTTGTTTAAACAAGTCCAAACTATCGGGTAACTATATAGAACGATATCACAATCATTTCTTCAACTGACATTATTATGTTAGCAATTATATTTTATTTTGATCTGGCAAAAATGTTTCGCCTTTACGATACTTACTCCAACTGTACATAGGGCAGAACAGTTTGAACTGCTCGTACTAAAGTTCTCTTGTGAATCATGGTCATTGATTCACGACAGTAGACAGAATCTGAATCTATTTGGTAGACAGAAACTGACGCCTTAGATTGGTGGTTATTTGGTAGAAAGAAACTGACGCTATAGATTGGTGGTTATTTGGTAGAAACAAACTGACGCTATAGATTGGTGGTTATTTGTTACAAAGAAACTGACGCTATAGATTGGTGGTTATTTAACATTTGAGACAAGAAACAATAGAGGCAAGAAACGAAAGTTTCATGCATTAGAAAACAAATTCCTAACGAAAGTGATGAAAATAAAATGGAATGAATTCAAAAGGAGTGAAGAAATAATATAAATATATGGGCAACAACTAGTATCAACAGTTAGTGAACAGAGAAGATGGCGCCACATTGGACACATTCTGAGAAGAAACCAGCAGAGAATCACCAAACAGGCATTACAATGGGAAATAAAGGGATTAAGGATGTGGTGACGCTGAAGAGAAACCCTAAAACTAGCGTTGTTGAGAGAGGCCAAAGCTGCTGGACTGAATTCCTTCCAGGACATTGAACTGATCGCACAGGATAGAATAGAATGGAGGAATTGACTTTGAGCCATATGTGTTATCCAATGGCGCACAAAGACAAAAATGAAAGTTTAAGCTTGCAAGGTACATATTACTCTGGCTCGCCAGACCTCTCTAACCGAGCATTTACTCATTGGAGGCTAAATCTTCCGTTCCACATCTTCTGCTGATTTAATTTTCCTTGTTGTCCAAAACATTGAGGATTAATCGTTTTTACACAGCAGTTAACAATGTCTTACTGATGATGTGCACGTAGAGCATGTGAACAAAATAATTGTCTTTTAAAAATACTTTACGAATTATTGATTACAGCAATGTTTTGACTTCCGCAGTTACGATCAGAGGCGATCACCACATACTTTCTCTGCGGGTTTTCCAGCTTCCTCTCTGTGGCCATTCACCTGGGGATGATGGCGGCCTATGTGCCAAACAGGAAGCGCTGGTTCACACGAGTGGCTCCCGCAGGGTTCATTGCCGGAAACCTGGCAAATATCATGACTGGTTGCTTTGCTTGTGAGTTGATTCTTGTGTGTCAATGCTGGCCAATATCATGACTGGTTGCTTTGCTTGTGAGTTGATTCTTGTGTGTCAATGCTGGCCAATATCATGACTGGTTGCTTTGCTTGTGAGTTGATTCTTGTGTGTCAATGCTGGCCAATATCATGACTGGTTGCTTTGCTTGTGAGTTGATTCTTGTGTGTCAGTGCTGGCCAATATCATGAGAGGTTGTTTTGCTTGTGAGTTGATTCTTGTGTGTCAATGCTGGCCAATATCATGACTGGTTGTTTTGCTTGTGAGCTGATTCTTGTGTGTCAATGCTGGCCAATATCATGACTGGTTGTTTTGCTTGTGAGTTGATTCTTGTGTGTCAGTGCTGGCCAATATCATGACTGGTTGTTTTGCTTGTGAGTTGATTCTTGTGTGTCAGTGCTGGCCAATATCATGACTGGTTGTTTTGCTTGTGAGTTGATTCTTGTGTGTCAATGCTGGCCAATATCATGACTGGTTGCTTTGCTTGTGAGTTGATTCTTGTGTGTCAATGCTGGCCAATATCATGACTGGTTGCTTTGCTTGTGAGTTGATTCTTGTGTGTCAATGCTGGCCAATATCATGACTGGTTGCTTTGCTTGTGAGTTGATTCTTGTGTGTCAGTGCTGGCCAATATCATGAGAGGTTGTTTTGCTTGTGAGTTGATTCTTGTGTGTCAATGCTGGCCAATATCATGACTGGTTGTTTTGCTTGTGAGTTGATTCTTGTGTGTCAATGCTGGCCAATATCATGACTGGTTGTTTTGCTTGTGAGCTGATTCTTGTGTGTCAATGCTGGCCAATATCATGACTGGTTGTTTTGCTTGTGAGTTGATTCTTGTGTGTCAGTGCTGGCCAATATCATGACTGGTTGTTTTGCTTGTGAGTTGATTCTTGTGTGTCAGTGCTGGCCAATATCATGACTGGTTGTTTTGCTTGTGAGTTGATTCTTGTGTGTTAATGCTGGCCAATATCATGAGAGGTTGTTTTGCCTGTGAGTTGATTCTTGTGTGTCAATGCTGGCCAATATCCTGAGAGGTTGTTTTGCTTGTGAGTTGATTCTTGTGTGTCAATGCTGGCCAATATCACGAGAGGTTGTTTTGCTTGTGAGTTGATTCTTGTGTGTCAATGCTGGCCAATATCATGAGAGGTTGTTTTGCTTGTGAGTTGATTCTTGTGTGTCAATGCTGGCCAATATCATGACTGGTTGTTTTGCTTGTGAGTTGATTCTTGTGTGTCAATGCTGGCCAATATCATGAGAGGTTGCTTTGCTTGTGAGTTGATTCTTGTGTGTCAATGCTGAATGTTGCTACATGGACAGTCTGTGGTACTCACAGGGAGGGCGGGGGCGGGAGGGGGATGGGTAAATGTCAGAGTGGAAATACATTGTACTCACAGGGGGTAAATTGGCAGTGTGGAAATATGTGGTACTTACAGAGGGTAAATGGACAATGTGGAAATATGTGGTACTCACAGGGGGTAAATGGACAGTCTGTGGTACCCACAGGGAGGGCGGGGGCGGGAGGGGGATGGGTAAATGTCAGAGTGGAAATACATTGTACTCACAGGGGGTAAATTGGCAGTGTGGAAATATGTGGTACTTACAGAGGGTAAATGGACAATGTGGAAATATGTGGTACTCACAGGGGGTAAATGGACAATGTAGAAATGTGTAGTACTCACAGGGGGTAAATGGACAATGTGGAAATATGTGGTACTTACAGGGGGTAAATGGACAATCTGTAAGTATGTAGTACTCACATTTGGTAAATGGACAATGTGGATATATGTGGTACTTACAGGGGGTAAATGGACAATGTGGAAATATGTGGTACTTACAGGGGGGTAAATGGACAGTCTGGAAATACGTGGTACTTCAAGTTGGTAACAGACAAAGTGGAAATACATGGTGCTGAAAGAGGGTAATTGTTCGAGAATGTAAGCGATTCGTTGAAAATGGTAGAAATACTTCAGTTACGCTTATACAGTTTTGAAATACTGTAAGCGTTAATAGAAGTGGGCCTCTGTCTGAATGATATTAGTACATCAGAGCAACTGTGTGGCTGCTTCTCAAAACGACACTTTAAAGCTTTTTAAAAATATAATGCAAGTTTCTTTACTAAACAGATCTGCTCTAACTGAACGACATCATCAATATCCCAAACCATTTTCTGATATCTATTTTATGCTGGGATGCCAAACGGCATGAAACAAATGCTAGTGAGTGTCATGATTTGCCTGGTTTCATTGATACATATCTTATAGTTTCCATCTACTGTTTGTTTGTTCTATGCTCGAACTGTTGATGTTTGCTCTTCCAGATAAGGAATTGTAATTTCTTACATAGTTTCATACAGACTTCAAGCCAGCCCTTAATCTTTGTTTCCCTTCATTTGTTCAAACAGGTATATTTTACTGAACTTGGACACGCCCATGCAAGCCTGAATCCAATGGCAGCAGACATCACGGTCTTTCATCAACCAATGAAAGATTCGGAGACATTATGCAGTAACCAATGAGAGGGATGGAACGTTTGTTCTGTAACCAGTGAGAGAAAAAGAGACGTTGTTTAGTGACCAATAGAAAACATGGAGAGATTGTTCAGCGACCAATAAGAAAAACTGAAACATTGTTCGGTGACCAATGAGAAAGATGGAAATATTGACCAAAGACAAAGATATTGTTCAGTGACCAATGAGAGAGACAGAGTCATTGTTTAGTGACCATTGAGTGAGATGGAAACGTTGTTTAGTGGCCAGTGAGAGAGACAGAGACATTTAGTGGCCACTGAGAGAGACAGAGACATTGTTTAGTGGTCAGTGAGAGAGTCGGAGACATTGTTTAGACCAAGAATGGAGACGACTGACCCCTTCAGGTTGCATACAGCTTCAGATAATAACGTTCGCAGAGACTGGATGTTGCGGACATGTTTGGTCAGAATCCAGAAGAGTTATACCATTTTATTCTTAAAACACGTTGAATTTATTATTTCCAGTTGAAGTGTTCGTACTTAGATATATTTGTACAACAGCAGTTACAACAGATTAGATTTAACGGTGGTATTCTAGATAGGATACCAACAGGGCTAGCTAATACAAGATACCCGGTTTAACCTCCTAAAAAGTTATAATAACTTTCGTGACAGCTCCACCAAATGGTGTACCCTGCACTCTTGTGTGGGCAAGGGTAACCGCTCAGTTTAGATCATCTCAACCCCACATTGCGCTGCTAAGATAAACATCCCTGGTTCTTAATCACTCAAGCATTTGACATAAAGTCTGCACAGTTGAAAATGGCTTTCATACATTATAAGAGTTGTAGAGAATATATATTTTTTAAATGTAGAAATAGAGGGACGTAATTAAATTATTACTGAAAACTACTATGGTCACACGTGTATTAGCTCCCGTACACACACACACACACTATTATACCCTCGCACGCACACTTAAACGCGCGCGCGCCCACACTCACCCACGCACACTATTAATCATAAACCTTTTATGTATTTCGTGTATTTTGTTTTAAAATAAATGAAGCTTTAACTCTTCGCAAACCGTATCAATACACAGGTTACATTTTCATTTTTTTTTTAATACAATGTTTAATTCAACAGTCACGTTGGCAGCCCAGGTTGTTGTGCATTTCTTTATTTATTGCCACAATCAGTAAAACTAAACTTACGCTGGAGTTATATCCCTTTTAAGATTTTTCCTATTACTTTTCTTGAAACAGTAATTTAAAAATAAAATTATGTTTTGCTGATATGTTCCTTGAAACCACATATCTGTATGTGTTTGAGACAATACACTTGTCTGTCTCACATTTTGTTAAATACCTTTGTTAGCATTATAGGGATGCCTTGGTAGAGACAAAGATGAAGTAAAAGACGGGATATTAAATTTGGTGTTTTAGTTAGACTCATATTTCTACTAGGCCTACATAAAGGGCATTAACGAAGACAAAGATGAGGTAGAAAACAGAAGAATGCGAGTTTCTTTCACTTTCTTTTACTATGCTGGACAAAGCCTGGGCAATTAAATCTTGTATACACATTATAATGCAAATATTTTATGTGCTTTCAAAAAAAAAAAAAAAAAAAAACCAGTGAAATGGGAACGGATAGAAAACTCAGCACAACTATAGGCAGTATACTTTTGTCACACATTACTACAAGCTTTTGAAAAGAGAGAATCAATAGATCAAGTTCCGACTCCACAATAACGTTTGGCTGTAGAAGATCTTCACCACTCGTCTCTCGCTGTGCTTGTACTGGTGTTTGCCCATTTGTTATAACGTTATCTCTCCAGCCAAAACTGGGATAGGTGAAGGCGAAAAGAACTAGATGATGTAAAAGATAACAATGGACAGAAAATCTTCAGTTGTAGTTAGCGTACAAACTATGAGAATGTCCAATAGAGTTTCGGGCCTCAGGTCAGAGAAGATACATTCCGTCAAAGCTTTACGGCGGAAATGCCAGAAAAGGAAGATGAGATGGAGAAATCACTTCACAACGTCTGAGTTAAACTCTGTTGCCCACTGGTCAGTCCATTTGTTGAAGTCACGAAGGGGCGCTATGTGACGATGCCTCTGACATTTGACCCTGGGAGAGAGCGCCTGCTCAGATTTCGTTTTGATGGTATCCAAAATATCCATGGCGTTTTCTATACGATACGACAGAACGATTCTTCGATCACGACGAAGTGCTTCAGGCGAGGCCAGACTGACGATTTCCGGAAAGTGCTCAGTTGAAACCAAGGAGGCGCGACGTGTTTTGTCAGGCAGACAGTTCCTATTCTGTGCAGATGGACGAAGGTATGTTTGACTGGGTGTGGTGATGTTTGGCAGAAATGAACTCATCGATTTGTTAAGGATGAATGATTCTGAAATTTCACCCCCAGTTGTTTTCTTTGTTTCATCGGAGGCTTTTCCCGGGGTGTCCTGAAAATCTTCTGTCCTCTTTGGAGGTAGATGCGAAACGTGGGAGGTATCTGATTTGGTAGTTATTCTGGTCTCGTGTACTGACTCCTTGTTGTTCCCAGTTCGTCGTGCAGAGTTCATGGAAAAATCATCTTCCGTGCTATCCTTTAGATTGCTGTTGCTTTTAGCGTTCAGATTCGTCAGCTTCTCAGCAAAGTTGGATTTGTCTGAGATAGCAATGCTCTGGTGGGGTGTTTTGTTCCGCTTAAGTGTTGTCGTGGACTCTGGGAATCTCGAGGAAAGCTTCTCAAAGATGACGTCTTCATATCCTTTCATGAGAGCGTACTGGGCTGCCGCGGACATATAGGATGAGAACCTTGGCGTCTTGGGCAGGTTTTCAGCTGCCTCCAGTGTTGAGTTCTCCTGTTGCAAAAAGAAGCAGCGGAAGTGATGTAGTTAACGAAACAATTTACTGTTTCATGCAAAAGTATTTTAGTTTATATGACCAGGTTACTTCCTACACTGATACCTCTCCCATACAAATCTTTAGGACGCGTTTCACAGTTTGTCGAAAGGGATGCATACATTAATTTCAACCAAACAATAATTACTTGTTATGCTTATATTAAAAATATCTATTATACGCGTCACTAAAACATTCAAGGCAGTGCATATTTATAAATGGCATACCGTACAATAAATTTAATATAGAGTTTTTCTAGTACACATATAATATGTGAAACCAGTCTAGTACCCGTCTACATCATATGGAGTTAATGTGATTCACATATTATGTGAAACCAGTCTAACCAAATAAAGCAATCGCAAACACGACAAGAACAAACAAGATAAGACCAAACAAGACAAGACGAAACCAGGCCAGAAGAAAACAAGAACAAACCACGCCCAGACCAAACCAGGCAAGACCAAACAAGACAAGAACAAACAAGACAAGAACAAACCAGACAAGCCCGAAAAAGACAAGAACAAACAAGACAAGAGAAAAACACACAGGACCTAACCAGGCAAGACCAAGCCAGGCAAGACCAAACAAGACAAGAACAAATGAGACAAGATAAAAGTTGACAGCATCAGACTAAACAAGATCCAGGGAAACAAGACCAGAAATTGAGGTGTGAACTCTTACCTTTTCACCAAGACCTCCAGAGTTCTGGCTCTGAACTGCTTGCCTAAATCTAATGATGTTGGCCACTCGTTTACTGACAGACAGAAAACTGACATGTTGAGAAGGCTGTTGCCTTTTTTTGGACCTTCTCCTGCTGGCAGGCGTACCTGTCTCTAGTGGCTCCTGGGAAGCATCTGGCCCCAGCAGGGCCAGTTTTGCCTCGGCAAGCCTTGCCGCCAACTCTTGGTTCAACACCTTCTCCTGCAGCAGTTCTTGGCGCGTCAACAGAGGGCGGCGTCTAACGTCACTGTAGTTCCGTGTGGGCAGTTTCAGGAAAGTAGGTGGTGGACGCGGGTGTCTGAAATGGTGTTGTTTGTCCATTACACAGAAATTCTGCATGACGGATGGCGATATGTCTGCTTTTAATGGACGCTTTGTACCATCAATACTTCTTTTGGCCTTAATTTCACCAATCCTGTGAGGTTTATTATCAGAAATGTTTTCTGTCCACCTGCCCCTTATCACAGTTCCTCGGTTACCAAACATTTTCATTTAGCGGGCAAGCTGTTTGGGCGGTGTCAGTTATTGGCTTTCTTTACTTTGTGGGATAAAATTGTTTAAAGACTTGCTCAGTCAAATAAAGTTGACTGTAATCATTAATCAACAAATGGAGTAATCAATATTGGGACATTTCTGAAGAAGTGTTCTCATTGGTTTCATTCTGTGGAATCAAACATCGTGTACAGTTTAAAATATAAAACCATGGTGCCGAGAACATAAAGTACACGTAACATGCTCTCACAGAACAACAAATATTTGACAGCCACAAGGGCCGATATAAACGATTGAACAAGGACATATCACTCGCGGCCCTCCTTAGTGTCTTTTGAGAAATATGTCAGTAAACAAAACAAAAAAATTATGCTTGTATTTTCGGAAAAAGCATTTGTTGTTTTGTAGCAGTAGCAGTATCAACAGGAGTAGCAGTAACTGCAGCTGTAGCAGTAGCAGTATCAAAAGGAGTAGCAGTAACTGCAGCTGTAGCAGTAGCAGGAGCAACAGGAGTAGCAGTAACTGCAGCTGTAGCAGTAGTAGTATCACCAGGAGTAGCAGTAACTGCAGCTGTAGCAGTAGCAGTATCACCAGGAGTAGCAGTAACTGCAGCTGTAGCAGTAGCAGTATCAACAGGAGTAGCAGTAACTGCAGCTGTAGCAGTAGCAGTATCACCAGGAGTAGCAGTAACTGCAGATGTAGCAGTAGCAGTATCACCAGGAGTAGCAGTAACTGCAGCTGTAGCAGTAGCAGTATCACCAGGAGTAGCAGTAACTGCAGCTGTTGCAGTAGCAGTATCACCAGGAGTAGCAGTAACTGCA